ACTGTCCCCCCAGGGAGAACTGACCACTTCTCTTCTTTCTCCACAGCCGCACCAGCTTCACGTGCAAGGCACACCACCCCGCCCGGGACATCCTCCCGCACCCGAGGGCTTAGTAGGTCCACCACAACACTGCAGGGGTACCGAGACCAGCAGTTGGGGGCCCTGCGAGCCCTGCACCGCACTATGGAGCATTGGATGCAGGACAAATGGGAGTTCCAGTGGGAGCTGCTTGCCCAGGGTCGTGCCATCTGTGCCCATCTGCAGACCCTGGTGCAGAGCATGCTGCCTCGTGCTGCTCCAGCACCTGCTGCCTCCCCAGTGCCCGCTCCTTCTCCCCCTCCTGCCTCTCTCTCCTCAATGTCCTCCTCAATCTCCACACCCTCCACCTCAACCTCCAAACCCTCCTCCCCATCCCCCCGGGGACGCCAAGGCCCCCGCACCCGCCATGCTGGGAAACAGTTGGCCTGGCAAGAGCTCTGAGCTTCTCCTCCCTCTTGTTCCCCTTGCTTCCCCCTTCCAGCTCCCTCCTCCCAGTTTTCCCCCTCCCCTCTCCCACCCTCTCTTCTCCCCTCTCCTGCCTCCTTTCCCCAGTCTCCCCAGAGTTTCATCCCTCCCCCCAGTTTTGTTAAATAAAGAGGATTTATATTTTTGAAAATATGTGTGTTTTATTTGACATTAGGATGGGGGCTTAGGGAGGGGTACGTGGAAGGCAGGCAAGCAATCAGGGACACCTAATAACCGGCTGCTCTGGTATAATGGGGTCCCTTTAAGCACAGGCCTCAGATAGCTTCAGGCAACAGCCACACAAAGACACTCCTTACCTGATGCCCTAACCTTGACTTGGTTCTGGCCGGCCTTAACTCCGAATCAGTCTCCACTCAGTGTGTATGCGGTATTGTGAAATAGCAAAATGCTATTTCGAAATGCATTTTGTGTGTAGATGCGTTATTTTGAAATAACTTATTTCAAATTAACTATTTTGAAATAAGATATTTTGAAATAATGCTGTAGTGTAGACATGCCCTATCTTCCCAGGAAAATGGTTCCTTTATATGTAAGGATTTCTGAGGGCCAACCTACCCTAGCAAAAATATCTGCTACTGCCTGGCAGAAGCCCCTGGCCCTTGACAATCCATAGAGCTACTGCTTTAAGCCATTTTCTGGCAAAATCCATGAAAGTCAGTACATACTGTTTTTCTCTGGTTTTCTTTTTGGGGAAAGAACCCAGAATATCCACAGCCACATGCTGGAATGGAATCTCTATTATGGGTAGTGGCTGGAGAGGTGCCATGACCTGGTCTTTGGGCTTCCCCTCCTGCTGGCAAACATCACAAGATTGGACATAGACACATCCTTGCCCATCACCTCCCAGTGGAATGACTTCCCCAATTTGTCTTTGGTCCTGTTCACTCACCCCAGCATGGCCACTAGGGTGATCATGGACTTAGTGTAAGAGCTTTACCCTGTATTTGGTTGGAACTACCAACTGTGTTTGAGGCTGCCAGTCCTCCTTGTGACCACCAGAAGGAGTCTCTTGGTATAAAAGTCCTTTTATAGACTCACAGATGGCTGGACAGACAGATGTACATTTCTAAAATATATAGATGGATTAAATCTATTTGAACAAAGAATGTTGTATAATGTCTATGAACTAGTCCAGCAGTGGCCAACCCGTGGCTCGCGAGCCACACGCAGCTCTTGCCCCCCGAAAGTGCGGCTTGCGAAGCCATTCCTGAACCCCCTCAAATGACTCCTGCCCCCTGCCGGCTCCCCCCTGGCTTGCCTGTGCTTGCCGGGTCGGAGCTGTGGGGTTTTAAAAATGGCGCCCAAGCTGGCTGCCTTTGGCTCTCTTTGTTAAATGGGTTGGCCACCCCTGAACTAGTCATAGTCTTTTTCAACATTGCTAACTTTCCTGCATCAAGAAGGGATGTAACCCACTAAGCCACAGAAATTTCAGAGAGTCTTCAAAAATCATAGTAACATAGCTTGAAAGTGTTGCTACACTGTGTTGATAAATGCCTTTAGCCCTATGGTACTAAGATCTTAAGCTTGAGATGATTTTACATTTAGTAAACTGTGCATAAAATAAATGAATATTAATCTCAAACATGTTACAAATTTAAAAGTAAAAATTTTATATGAGGGATTAGGGAAATGGTATATATATTTAAGTATACGTATATTCAGTATATGGAGAAAATACAGTCACGTTAAAAAGCAAAAGTGGGCTGCTCCTGAGAGGAAGTCTTCACAGGAGATGCTTAGTACTTTCATATCCTACTAAAGGGCACTATGATAGTCCCGGTCTCTACGCCAGTTTCCTCATGTGCAAAATATCTGCCTCAGAGAAGTGTTAATATGCCTATAAACATTAATGATTGTGAAGTGTTTTGACATACTCAAAGGGAAGGTGTAACAGATTATGTGACAGTTCCTCACTCAGAGGTAGGGGAATCTGACCACACCCAGTCACATACATTATCTGGTCACAACGCACATCCAAGATCCCTACTTTTTGCAAGGGGGCCTTTGCCCTTTGTGGGCCTCATTAGGTCTCTGTGAGATCAAAACAAAAGTCACAAACCCCCTGCATTCAGGGAATTCATACACTTTCCTTGTGGTCCCAGCAAAAGTGAAGGTGGGAAGCACATCTATAGTTCTGCCAATGATCCAGCCCCAACATAATGGGTTTGGGGAAATTGCTCTGGCTAGGTTTCTGAAGCAAATTCAGTTGGATCAGTGTGAAGGTTTCCTACTCAAGAGTTCCCTTCACAGCATCAGGGATTGTTTCTTCTGTCTGCAGCTTAGCATGATCCTGCTCCTTGTCTCTCCCCACCCTGATGACTGCAGTTTCCTTTTTAAAAGCTTCCTCTGTATCATGAATGGGCCTCTCGGGCCTCTTCCTCATCAGTGTGGAGCCTATACACCTTGTCGCAGAATGTGTTAGAGAAATGCAAATTATTATTATGTTATCAATACGGTGACACAGCCTTTATTTTGCAAATTTCAACTCAATTGAAACAAATAGATATTTTTCAAAAGTTGGAACTATAACTCCAGTGAATCCAATACGCAGGAGCATAAATTGCAGCAGAGAATATGTAAGTGGGAAATTAGAACGAGTAACATGGATGCTGAACAGTAAATAGCTAAAGATGAAAAAGAAAGAACAATTTAATTATACCTGAAGCATGAATCCTGTGAAAGTTAGTGTGCCATCTAAATCATCTGGCACTTAAGATATCTTCCTTAATTGCTATTTGCTGAAAAACTAAATAATTTCATCAGATTATCCTCACAGAGGATACTGGGGAGATCCCTTCCCTCAAATAGGTCCTTCCTGGTAATAAAGGTGAATTACTAACACAGTTTGAGGCATCAAAAGAAGAGGTGCTAGAACAAACAGACAATTGAAACAGAAATAAGCCACTAGGCCCAGGTGGCATACATCCAAGAGTTTGGAAGAAACCTAAAGAAGAGCAGCTGAGATGCTAGTAAAAATACACAACATCTCATTAAAAACAGAGGCTTGGTGGGTAACAAATGTTTCACCTATATTTCAAAAGGCTCTATGAGTGATCCCAAGAATTACAGGTCAGTAAGACTTACATCTGCACCTGGTAAATACGTTGAAATTATAATTAAAAATACATACGCCCTCCCCTTCCCCCAAAAAACATATATGATTCTGTCTAATCAGAACTATTTCTGTAGAGGAAAACGATGTCTCACTAACTTGTTAGAACTCTGAATAGATCAGTAAAATAGTGGATAAAGGAGAGGTGGCTGACAGAATTTACTAGACTTTCAAAAGATCATTGTCAAGGTTCTTCACAAGAAGTTACTAAAGGAACTAAGGAGTCATTGGATGAGAGGCAAAGTACTATTATGGAGCAAAACCAGGCTAAAACACAGTAAACAGTAGGAATTCATTGGTACTTTTTATCATGGCAAAAGGGTTAGCAGCAGAATTGGTCAATACCTAAGACCAGTATTGTTTAATATATTTGTTAGTGATCTGAAAAGGAGGTGAGAAGTATGGCAGCACCAGTCAGAGATGGCAAAGTTATTTAGGATAGTCAAATCCACAGAAGATTATGAGGAACTTCAGAAGAACCTAACCAAATTAGATTAATGGGCAACAGATCTGTAGTAGATGAAATTTAATGCCGATGAATGCAAAATAAAGAAATTGGAAGGAAAAAGCTGAACTATTCATACACCTTACAAAGTTCTACATTAATCACAACAACTCAGGAAAGAGAGCTAAGAATTACTGTACACAGCTCAATGAAGACCTCTACTCAGTGTGCCCCTGCTGTCAAAAAAGCAAACAAGATGTTAGGATGAATAAGAAAAGGGAAGGAGAAAATATAAAAAATAATACAGTTCTGTTATATAAATCAATAGTAATCTCATCTGAAGTAATGTGTAGTTGATTGGTCACCATATCTTAAAAAGGTATTACAGAATTAGAGAAGGTTCATACCAGGGGACAAGAATGATGTGGGCAATGGAAAAAACACATATGCAACTGAAAAGTCTGGGACTATGAGAACCTGCCAGGAAGAAGAACAGGAGAATCCAGGAGCACTCATTCTGGCAAGCAGTGTCTGCCACTGACACATATCTATCCCCAACCGCTCACCCTCTTGAATGGACAGGGATAGAAATTCTCTCTCTGTGGGATGCTGCCAGTGCCAGACTCAGTGTGTGTGGGACACAGAAGAAAGCTGAGTCACCCCTGTCCTGCTTGCAGACTCCTGGCCTGGCCAGCACTTTCCCATGCCTGCTTGTCCCTGGGTCGTGGGTGTTGTGATGCTCCCCTGGGATGTCTGTGCTTCTGCTGGGAAGTGTCCACTTTCTAGGCAACATATGGGCTTCCTTGAAGCACATTGCCATCATCTAAACTGAGACCTTTGGTGGCAGCTCAGAGATTAGGTCTAGGTTTCATACACAGTGTTTTCTGTGCTGACTTCCCTTTTAACTTTTCTTCACAGTTGGGAAAGCTGCAAGCTTGGCATGTCCTCCACCTCCTACTCCATCTACCTGACTCAGCAGGATCTGCAGGCAGAAATCCACATGGGAGGAGCTGATGAGGGATCAGATAGTCCGCCTGCAGTCCCTCATCCAGGGACTCAGGGAAGAGCACATGGAGCGGGCTGCTGATTAAGAGGAGCACCAGGAGTGGGCTGCTGACCAGGAGGAGAGAAAGGCACCCTGGGAAGTCATCAGCATGACACCATGTTCAGCACCCTCACCTCAATGATGGAGCACATGGCATTGTTCATGGAGTGGGCCACCAGCCACCTCCCCACCCACCCCATGACTTCCCTTCCAAGACTTTCCAGGGGATGCCAGGGACCCACAACGCAGGGTGGTGGGACCATTAGGGCAGCCAGAGCCTCCAGACCACTCAGAGGCCAGTGTCACTCCCAGTTCCGTCCCTGAGCCCTCCTCTCCTATTCCAGCTTCTTTTCCCATTACCTTCCCTGTGGTATGTCCCCTCTGTAAAGAGTCCTGTTTTTTCAAAAAAGATGTCTTTATTGTTTGCTCTGCGGGGAGGAGGGAGTGGGCGATGAAAGACACACACGGGGAATACAGGGGCTCCTTGTCAAGAGCTAGTGGGAAGAGTCTCAGAACTGGACTTGCATGAAACTCTCCTTCAAAGCCTCTCTGCCCCTTGCAGTGCTGTCCTGCTGGCACTGGTGTCTGGCTGCTCGAACTGCCTTGCCAGACATTCAACCTCAGGCTCTCCACCCAGCAGAAAAGTCTCCCCCTTGCTTTTGCACAGCTTGTGGAGCACACAACAGGCTGCCACCACGAAGGGGATGTTGCACTCACTGAGGTCCAGACAGCTGAGAAGACTCCTGAATCTTTCTTTTAAATGCCCAAATGCACATTTCACAATCATTCAGCACCTGCCCAGCCTGGTGTTGAATTCCTCCTTGCTGAGGTCCAGGCTGCCCATGTAGGGCTTCATGAGCCAGGGGAGCAAGGTATAGGCTACATTGCCCAGGATGGTGATGGGCATGTCCACCTCCCTGACTCTCATAGTGCAGTCAGGGAAAAAAGTGCTGGCATGCAACTTTCGGAAGAGGCATGAGTTGCAGAAAATGTGGGCATCGTGAGCCTTTCCTGACCATCCAACATTGATGTTGATGAAGTGGTCCCATCAGTCCAAGCTCGACTCCCTCTACGAGAAGCAGCTTTTCACAGTTTCCAAGGGATGAGGTGTATACGCAGCAGCAGAAGCACCAGGACCTGGCTGAGCAGGGCCTGTAGGCCACGCTGGGGTTTGTCCTCTTCATCTTCATCCTACTGGAACAACATGCAGGCAGTTTGGAGGTACTGCCCCATGAGGCGCAGCATGAGGCCTGTGAGCCTGGCTCTGTTTTGCAGCAGCTCTGGCTCCATAGTGTCAGTGCTGAGGTGTCTGTCAAGGCAACCAGAGCACAAGAGGGCATGTGCCTACCGTGTCCTTTTTCTGTCCCATGAGGGGGGAAGCAGTAGAAGAGTGGCTTCTGAGACATGGCCATAGAAAGGAGCCCCTATAAGCACAGCCTGCCAGACCAAGCAGCCACAGGAAGTATCCACCCTCCTGGTGCCCTGCCCAGAGTGCTTCCAGGGGCTGTAAGTCCTAGATAGGCTCTGTTTAATGTGCATGTGCTATTTTGGACTAATTCGAACTATTTTCAAGGTGTTCCCCATAGTGAGGACACACTAATTCGAATTTGTTACATCAGGAGTTAAGTCAAATTTAGTAATTTTGAAATAATTTCCTAATGTAAACATAGCCTAAGGGAATATCCTCCTGCACCAATGTTCCATTTATTTCTGCACCACCTCAGAGAGAAAACAAAATATGCTTTCATGTTCTTTCCTAAGTTTAGATTTTACTATTATTTTCTTGTATTTCCTTCCCTGTGTTCCCCAAGTGGAAATATACAGATGTACTGCCAATGAGGGGGAGGCAAAGGGAGCAGTTACCCAGGAGCCCGGTGATGGAAAGGGGCCCAGGTCTCCCAGCTACCACTGCTGCTGCTGCTACTGTGGCAATGGTGGCCACTGAAGCCACAGACCCTTTAAATTAGCACTGGGGCCTTATGTGGCACATTCTAGAGCCTCGGGCAGCATACTCCAGGTGACTCTGAGGACTGGTATAAAGTGTCTTAGTATGATCTGGGCAGTGCTGAGGGATGGCTGCACTCAATCCTCAACCTTAATGCCCAAGGCCTCACCCCTTCTGGGAACACAGAGCTGCCCCCAGTCCTATCTTGGCCTGGGGCTCAGCAACTCTATTGCACCCCCTGGTCCTTCAAGAACAATGCAGAAATAGACTATGAAACTCATTGTCACATAATGTTTCTAAGGTCAAAAGTTTAGTAATACAATGTTCTATTATAACATCAGCATAACCAGATTATCCACATTTTCCAATCTGTTGTACAGCATATTGTGAGAAATATGAAGGAAATTTTTCTTTAATTGTAAAATTGTATTCTGCTATTCATATTCACAATTGTGGATATAGGATATTTTCTTTCATTTATTTTCATACTAGCCCACAGTTAAACCAATTTCCACCAAATTTCCTAGCAATACACTATCTATGGATTATTTCAAGATAAGGTCTTATCTAAAAATTAAAGGGAAAAACCTCTTATATTTTAATATACTATAAAATCTAGATAGAAAGGCACCAGACTGATGAATATGACTAGAATAAACCCATTTCACAGTAGAGAAGATGTCTCTTTTGTCTCATTAAGTCTATGAGTCCAGACCATTAGATTTCTGCCTTTACTACCTAGCTGGCATTGAAGATCTTGACTAAATGAATGAATTTCTAAATCACTGCAGGAAGATTTATCTAGCTATGTGGTTTTTTGTGGTAGGACAAGGAAGATTTGACTTAAGTCCCTTGAACATAAGATTTACTTCTTTTCATAACTCAGATGAGTAACTTCTTGGATTGCATCAAATTCTTCCCGGGAAATAAAATATTTTTAGATAAGGGTATGTTATATCTAGGTAACATTTTAAATATGAGAAGATTTATCTTACACTAAAAAATTTTCTTATTTGAAGATGAGGATGTGCCAAAGCTAAATAAGAGATGTCTTGGTTGATATGAAAGGATGAATTTATTTCCACAGAAAAACTTAGACATGATTCCTAATCTTGTGCTTTCTTCATTGAAGGACAGAGTAATAATTTTGCTGTCCCTTCTAGCAGAGGTACTAGTAATCAAAAGGGCTATTTTATAAGAAAGAAGAGTCTTAGGTATATAATTAATAAATCAAATTATGAAAAACAAAGTTCACTCCTAGAAGAAATGTATCTTTCTAATACTAAATTCAGATGGACTCAAATAATAAGCTGGGGGAGTTTAGCAAATAATTCTGCATCTAATGGCCCCAAGATCTAATGGCCCATCTAATGGCCCCAAACATTCAAGTTTGGATAAAAATAACCTTTTATAAAGCATGTTTTGAAGGGGTTTAAGAAGGCTCAGTTTTTGAAAAATGTGCAAGAACCTTTGCAAATGCAAAAAGCGATCCTGTGGACAAATTCCTGATGTAAATGTGGAATTTTCACACTTTGGATATAATTTTTTTTGCTATGATATTTGTGAAAATAGGACACTGTAAAGTTCCTGATTTTTCAGATTCTACCCATTCCAGTAGAATATGCTGCTAGAAATCCATGTCTATATGGGAATCAATATAGTGATGGGGAAGTACATTATGAAGGGGGAAGGGGTGGTATTTTTAGCTTGGAACCATATACAGGCAATGGGTAAAGGTGTCAAGAGTCTTTTAGTGACAAGTATGCCTAAATTCCATTGACTCTCAATGGGACTTGGCACTTTTGAAACATTTATCCATTGTACTCCTTTTTTCATTTTCAAAAGCATTTTACAAACATTATTTCTTCCATACTCTTTAAATATACTAGTTAGTCTTCTCGATTTAAGTAACGCATCAACTTTCTGCTATTAAGTAATCTCTTCAGATTAATCTTTTCATGATGCATCCCATTAAAGATTTCTTGTCCTGATGATTTTGGAGAAATGGCCCATTGGACACAGGAGACAGATCCTTAAATAAAAAGCAATCTATAAACCATAAAAATCTAGGTCTCATTTCAGTAAAAAGAATTACTTTTGTTTTACCATTTATAATCTCTTTGGGCAGGGCCATGAGAAGAGGGACCTTCCCTGATCCAGCAAATCCCCGGCTACGTCTACACTGGCCCCTTTTTCGGAAGGGGCATGCTAATTTTGAAAGTGGGACTAGGGAAATCCGCGGGGGATTTAAATATCCCCCGTGGATTTAAATAAACATGTCCGCCGCTTCTTTTGCGGCTTGGGGAAAAGCCGGAAAAAAAGCGTCTAGACTGGCCCGATCATCCGGAATAAAGCCCTATTCCGGAGGATCTCTTATTCCTACTTTGAAGTAGGTCCCGAAGGTGCCAGACAAGAGAGGTCCAAACCAGTAGCTTGTACCAGTGCTTTTGATACTGTGGATAGTTCACTCTGGCCAAAGCCCTTTGGTACCAGAGTTTTCAAGGATAATGCCAGAATAGTATGCTTGTGTGATGGAAGTGTTGATACCAACATTTTCTGGTGCCACTTGTGTTGGCACAAAGCTCTTTATTCAATAGTCATTGGCACTGGGTATTCAGCAGCATCCAGAAGCTAAATAGGGGTGTTATAATGATCACTCAGTGATGAGGTGTCAGTGGAACTCATTTTGGCTCTTGAACTACCTCCTGTGTTGTGCCTACTCATTTATGGTTATGGAGAGCTATGTTGCAATTCACCTTGGGGATTAGTGCTCTTTGCCACTCCTCTCTTCTGAGGATGCAGATGAAGCTATGAAGGAGTTTCTTGCCAACTCTGAAGAATAGGACTTTCTAGACACTAAATTGGCTCTAGACCCAAAGTAGATTGTCAGGGATCTTTTGAGAAAGAAAGCCTCTCTCATATGCCTCCTACAAGGAGGTTTACAGGATCTGTCGAAAAAGGCTTTCTTTCTCGACAGATCCCCCTCTAGACTGCTGGTTTTTGCCAACAAAGTGCTGATTCAGCAAAACATGGTGGCCATTTTTATGCAAATTAGGCACAGGATATGTAAATCCCTGCCTCATTTGCAATGTCGACCTGCCTAATCTGACTCCCTCTGCCGACACAGGGATGAAGTCTAGACATATCCCAGGAGTGGAACACATGCACAATAACTCAAAGTAGAACTGCACTTTAATGCTTTTAGTCTTCATTACAAGCTGGTATTCACTGCAAAAAGCAGTATTAACCCACCAAACTAAGCAATTATTTTATATCTGACTTTTAAATCTATATTCCACTCTAAATACTAAAATTTGACTTCTTTTGAAGTGGCTTATTTCTACTAGTCTTTAGCTAATAAATAATTCTTAAAGTATGAATACCTGCACAAAATGATAAAATATTTTCAAACACAGAAAAAGAGTCAATAAATGACTCTTCAATTAAAGCATTTAATTAGAATATATGCTTAAATAAAATATAAAAAGTGACTTGTTAATTCAGTAGCTTTGGGTTACAATACCAGCACTAATTTTCAAGCATCCATGATGTCCTGTAGCACATAATTTGTTATCCAAAGGCTATTTTTAGTGGATAGTTGGAATACTTGGAAGATGCATGATTTCATCAAGGTGAATAGTCTTGCCAGTAATGCAGATTGCAGCTTTTCCATGCAGTCCTGTTTTGTGCAGATCTCATCCATGTCCTTCCATAAAGGATCCACCCAATGAGCTGCAGGTCTTCCTCCCATTCTTTTTACATCTTGTGGATGCCAATGAAGTATACGTGCTGTCTATCTGTTGTTTCTCAGTCTTGCTACATGACCAGCCCATCTCCTTTTCTAATCATGCATAATTTGGATGATATCATTGATACCGCTTCTTGGGCACTTGTGATAGGGAATTCATACACTGTACTGAAGGTGGGGGGGAGGCTAAGACTGTGGGTGGAGGAAGTCCCACCCCTTCACCCAGACTGTGCATGCTCCAAGTGCTGGAACAGTATGAAAGGCAGCAGAGCAGCTCAGGGTGGGGTGACTAGCGAAGAAGAAGGACCTCCTGCCAGAGATCCTGAACTGTTGCTGCCAGCCACCCTGGCGGTGAGAACCGGGAACCCAGGAGACAGCCACAAAACCCGCAGAATCTCAGGAAGAAGTGCCAACGGAGTGGCAGACTGTGCTGCTACTCACAGGGCCCTAGGTTGGGACTTGGTGGAGCAGGGTGGGCCCAGGTCCCCCTACCAGGGCATTAGCCCCCAACTGTATTGATGCTGGCCAGTAGGCCATACTACCCTGGACTGAGGGCTATGTATTTACTCTAACCAGTAAGATATACTACCCTGAACTGAGGGCTATATATACTGACTGGCCATTGGGCCATGCTGCCTGGCGAGCTGGGCCACTTATGGACTCGGGGTTATCCAGAGACTGGTGAAGTGCTCTGGATTATAGTGACAGCCAACCCCCTTGGGGCCAGGGAGGCAGCATCTGCACCCCAGAAGGTGGTCACCCCAGTGACGGGGAGTGCTTACACCTCCACAGTGCCAATAATCGATAGTAACATGATGTAGCCTACTTACACCCACCATGCATCTTTCCATTGCTCTTTGGGTGACTTGCAGCTTTAATTCTTCTGTAAGCATCATGTTCCAGGTTTTGCAGCCATAGAGCATTACTGGAAAGATACTTGTGTTAAAGAGGTGGACTTTTGCAGTGGTGGAAAGTTTAGGATGGACAAAAACACTATGCAGACTCCCAAAGGCAATCCAGTCCAACCTCTTCCTCCTGCTCAACTCTGGACCCAAGCCATTGTCCATCTGCAATACTTGTCCAAGATACACATATTGATCTACCAGCTCGACAGTCTGTCCATCCAACTGCATGAAGTATTCCGACTATGCATTTTTCATCCCCCTTTTTCCCCAGTACGGATGGTTGGGCAAATCTCCTTTGCATTCTTACTGTTGCCATTGAGGAGGATTTGCAATGTTGTGGGTTTCAAAGTAATTAGGACAATGACATCTGTGAAAAGGAGGATCTGAAGAACCTCGCCATCAATCAGAAATCTATCTTTCACTTTGATCTTCCGCAGGACATCTTCCAGGACACTGGCAAACAACTTTAGTGAACAAATGTTCCCCTGCTTTATGCCTGAAGGGATCATCAAAAAGCATGATTTCCATATTTACATCCATCATGGAATCTTGTATGATTCTAACATACACAGGGGAAACACCCTGTGAAAGGAGAGCACTTAATACTGCATTTTGTTCCACCAAGTCAAAGGCTTTTTAAAAGTCAATGAATAACAAACATAGTGGGATCTTGTACTCTGTACACTTTTTGGTCATCCGTGTGACCACAAAAATATGGTCCACTGTGGAGAATCCCTTATGAAAGCCTGACTGTTCCCTTCTCATGTTTTCCTTGAGGACACCCTTAATACAGGCATAGATTGTTCTCATAAAGACCTTACAAATATGAGAAAGCAGACAGATGGGTCAATAGTTGCAAATATATTTTAGTGGATATATCTTTAACAAACAAATAAAACATATTTTTTCTGTCTGATACTACAGCAAGCCACAGGGAAAATAATTAACAGCATAGAGATTCTGCTGATTAGTGAGCATGAAAGTGAATATTAAAATTCCCTATAAGCCACACATTATATGCAACACTTGGATGGCAATGGGGGACTGTTTCCCTTAAAACTTAAAGAAAACTTCGTTCACAATGGCTGTGTCTAGACTGGCAAGTTTTTCCGCAAAAGCAGTTGCTTTTGCGGAAAAACTTGCCAGCTGTCTACACTGGCCACTTGAATTTCCGCAAGAACACTGACGATCTCATGTAAGATCGTCAGTGTTCTTGCGGAAATACCGTGCTGCTCCCGTTCGGGCAAAAGCCCTCTTGAGCAAATCATTTCCGCAAGAGGGCCAGTGAAAACAGCACTGTACTGTTTTCCGCAAAAAAGCCCCGATCGTGAAAATGGCGATTGGGGCTTTTTTGCGGAAAAGTGTGTCTAGATTGGCCACGGACGCTTTTCCACAAAAAGTGCTTTTGCGAAAAAGCGTCCTGCCAATCTAGACGCGCTTTTCCGAAAATGCTTTTAACGGAAAACTTTTCCATTAAAAGCATTTCCGGAAAATCATGCCAGCGTAAATGTAGCCAATATGTATTGCCTAGCACATGCTGGGGCTGTTGCTACATAGGAATACTGTCATGCTAACTGTGAATACAGACTACATTTTCAAAAATTATTGTATTATAATAAGCAAACATATATAATATGGGATAAAAATAAATAAAAGTAGAGTAAAAATGCCTATCATATTTGGCAAAGCAGTAGATAAAAGGCTAAGAGCCGTTTATCTGGCCACATGATTCCAAACGTGGAGTTATTTTGATACCGTATATATTTTGGGGCAACATGTTTGCAGCAAGAAAAGAGGCATTGAGCTTTGTTCAATTAAATTATAGGGGATATTCACACCACCTTAAGTTTCATTAGTTAAATAGTCTGCTTTTCAAAAAGCCCATTTTATAAAGGCAAATTATAGGATGTCTATATTATTCCATTTATATAGTTAGATTTCTAATATACCAACTGGTGGCTTCAGAGATAGCCTATGAGATAAATCTATTTTATATAATTACAAACATTCAGAATATGACCTAGTCCATCTGCCCTTCTGGGCTCTTCTTTACTGAGCTACACTAAGCAGAACATTAGAAAATCATCAATGTGTAAGTCAGGTCAGGATATATATGCCTATATAACACTCCATGACTCTAGACTCGAATAGATTTTTTTAGTAATGTAGAAAAGATCACAACTATGAAATGAAAGTTGTATTTCATATGTCTGGAGGACAATTCATTTCCCTGTTTACATGTGCTTTTGGCTCTTAGGGCACGTCTACACTGCAGAGGAAGAATTGAAGCTGCCGCTATCAATCTTCCAGGGCTCAAATTAGCGGTCAGTTTAAGACAGCTCATTCAAACTGAGAAGGGTGCCGGTAACCCTCATTTCATGAGGAGTAAGGGAAGTTGAAGGAAGAGTATTCTTCTTTTGACTTCCTTCAGTGTGGACAGCTCCAAAAGCTGTTAAGCTACTTCAACT